GAAAGAAGCTATGATACAGTTATTTCACGCAATTTGCCCGCCCGACCCATCTTCTCACAGTTCACCCATCTTGGTATGGGATTTTCCCGACACCGATCCGATAACTTCCAGCAAAAAACGAAGAGAAACAAGGACATTCATGTAATTTGCCCGCCCGACCCATCTTCTCACAGTTCACCCATCCGACCCGTCGTATTTCCCCAAGCAGCTTCACGCAGAAAGTCGTGCGATGACAGAAAATAGTTCGTCACAGTTGAGTTGTGCTACGCGTTGGGTTGCGGAGTGATTCCTCGAGCAACGCCGAGGTTGTGGATGAAGCGCAGGACATGAGGCACATGGGAAGACCTCAGGCAATGCGACGACGCGATAAACGACTACTTCCAGGAGAAGCTACGCATGTTGTCGTGATTGTTCCAGGAAATCGCGGAGGGATGTGCGCCTCATCTTCAACGGCGGGTGACGTTCTACTGAGAGCCTTTGCAGGCAGACCAGATTGTGGCGTATACACTGTACAGGTGGGCTACATGGGAGACGTACGAGAGCAACACGTGCAACTTTGGGATTGGACGAGCTTCTGGCTTGGTTGTCGCCCGCAACGTTACTGCTGCGTTGCTGCGGGTGTTCGAAGAGAAGATTGCCTGACCGGCTGGAGTTCTTAAACTCGTCCTTCTGCGGACGTTCGCTGATAAAAGGTTCCCCAATTGCCACGGTTGCATTGAATGTACTCACATCTACGTGGACAAGTCGGCGAACGCACCAAAAGAAAACTATTACGACAGGAAGCGTCATTTCTCCATCGTCGTGCAGGTTGTCGTCGACATGGACTTGCGTGTGCTCGATGTGCACATAGGATACTCGGGTAGCTGTCACGACATCCGGGTGCTCCAGTTATCTAGCCTGTCGCAGCGCGCGGAGTCGGGGTCGTTGTTCCGTGGTCCCCCTGTGATACAACCGTTCGGTGTGAAGACGAACGGGTACATCCCGGTGGACAATGACTACCCCCCGTCTGAATGAATGGTCATCCTGTATGGAGGCATCAGTCAGCACGTCGACGAGGAGCACTTTGACAACAAGCAGAAGGTGGCGAGGGGAGCGGTGGAGAGGGCGTTCAGCAGGTTGAAGGGCATGTGGCGGCTGTTTCTGCGGACGCACAAGATGAACCTGGACACGCTCCCACAGCTGCTCACCGCCATCTGTATACTGCACAACATACTGATCGACGCTAGAATTCTGTTCGATGAGAATCTGCCATGGGAGGTTGACGCGCATGGTGTGCGACATCGTGTGGACCTGGGGATCAAAGAGCCCCTTCAGCCTGTGTGAATGATTACGTCGACAAACGAAGTGTTGGCCCTGCGAAATGCTTTGGCAGAACGAATGAAACACGATTGAGTCGTGTTCACATGGTGGACGGGAGCGTGTGGAAGTGTGCTCATTGCAGCACTGGCCGGAGGGCAGATTCGTTGTTTCGTCAAACCTTGATTGGGTTGGTAGTTTGTGTTCGAGGTTGTAGTTCGTCAGCGTCGCAGTTCGTGGATGTGCGTGGCCGTTGTTCAGGGAGTTTTTTAATTGGTGTTTCCGTTGTGTAGTGGGGATATGGCGCACTGCGGGTGCCATGTGCGCCGTTTTTTTTTTTAACAACGGGTGTCATGTTGAAGAGAGAGCAAGGTTGGTCATGCGGGTGGGGCCGAAACTTGTCGCCCCTGCGTTACATTTACGTGTCTTTTTAATGAAATGCTGCACGATTTCGTAGTTTCCTTCCAATGTTCAAATCGTCGATTGTTAGTATGTGTTGTTATTCTTTGTGTTGCTATTTGAAGGCAATGATCAATGCGGACGAAGATACACTGTGCCATTACATTTTCACAACATGTGTTTTTGGAAATCGTTTGCTCTATGGGGTTGTGCGCATTGTCTTCCTGCGACTGTTGAAATGAGAATCAAATACGGTTTTTGGGCGGCATTGGAAAAAATGCCAAAAAAAAAAAAAAAAAGACGAGCGACAGTGACATTAGAAAAACATGATGAAATATATGTATGCAGATCCAACAACCGGTTGACTATTCATGATTAATCAGAACGACCAATGAAACAGATGAATCACTATTCAGTCATGCCAGCGAAGTGACGAAAACAGCGGACGCATGATTAAAAAATTAAAGGCGCGCTCCAAGCCAATCAAGTTCGTTCGCAGCAAGCTGCGCTGACAACAACACACAACACGATAACAAAAATCGAAAACCCTCCTACAACGTGCTGAAGTGAATGCCGTAAAACGTCACTCGTCTACTCGCAGCACCGACACACTAACCAGATCCACAAACAACGACGATCGAAGTCACAAAAGCACCCCTGCCAAAGTGAACGACCAAAAACATTCGTCGTCTAGACGCAGGAGCGACACACTGTACACGTGCGCAACGAAGGAAAAACCCATCACGACCACCAACGTTCAAACGCGCCGCCACGAATCCTGGAGCTCCCACGCCGCAGCAGGCTGCCCCTTCCACTCCCCTCTCCCACGCCGCCACCGGCCACCCCTTCCACTTCCCTCTCCCGCACCACACGTGTCACCTGCAACCCCCACCCCC